TAAGTGTGCTTTACACAATTGACGTATGTATGGATTGTGATAAGAGTTGTATGAGCCCCCAATAAAATGATTTTTTTTAAAAGAAAGAAAAGCAAGGCTGTTCCTTTGAAGACTAAGTTTCACTTATCCGAAGCCACGGTATTTTTAATCACCTCATATGCATGTGAAAATTGGCCAATGAATAAGAAAAATCAAAGGAGAGCCAATGCATTTGGAATTATGATGGTGCTGTTGCAGAATATTGAAAGTACGATAGACTGCCAAAAGAACAAACAAATCTGTCTTGGAAGAAGTACAGTTAGAATGCTCTTTCAAGGCAAGGCTGGTGAGACTGTCTCATGTACGTTGGACATGCTGTCAGGATTGATCAGCCCTGGAGAAGGACATCATGCTCTGTCAGGTAGAAGGGCGGTGAGACAGAGGAAGGCCCTGGACAAGACGGACTGACACAGTGGCTACAGCAATGGGCTCAGACACAGGAACAATTGGGAGGATGATGCAGGACTAGGCAGTGATTCATTCTGCTATTCATAGGCTTGCTAAGAGTCAGAGGAACCCGATGGTTCCTAACACAGCGCGTCATGAAAAATTCGTAGACATAACCAAACACTTTGAAGGCATGAGTCACTGGGCCTGGGATCTGCAGACCATGATCTTGGGGGACATCAAGGTCAACTGGCATAACACAGACTGCTGTTAAGGTGCAACTATTTTTATCTCTCTGTCCAGAGGAAAGAAGAATGAAGACAATTGAAGATACATGGGAAATAATTAGCCCAAAAGATTAATGGGCCACCCAAATATCCGTTTCTACAATCCTGAGACCTAAAGAACTAGATGCTAGCACCATCAACTCTTCTGAAAGAGGTCACCGAAGGGTCTTGGATGCAGTGGAGAAAACTGTGCAACAGAACTCAAAATCATAAAAACATAAGGCAAGGCTTATTTATTGGATAGTGACCGATGGAAGGAAAGGTCAAGACTAGGGTCTCTAGTCACCATTGAGGTCTGGAAGTGAACTCAACCTTGTGGCTTAATTTTCAGCCAAATAGTAGACAGATCTATTAATGACGCACACACATCTTAGAATGATAAAAAAGGGCAGCATTTACTCAAAGATAAAATTCAGAAAGGTTAGGAAGAAGGAAGAGTAAGAATATAAAACCCAAGGAGGAAGTGGGATAAGTGCTATTACATTATGGGGATTGCAATTAGTGACATAAAATATGTATAAATTGAAAAAAAGCAGAATTTAAAGATCTATCTTGAAGTACAATGCTGTCTAAGATAGGATAATGTCTACCCAACTACAAGGAAGCCAGCACAATTATTATTCAAATTTATACACCAACCACATAGCCAAAGATGAAAAAAATTTAAAATTCTACAAAACTCTTCAGCTAGAACATCAACAAATATAAAGATGCATTCATAGTGATTGATGACTTAAACTCCAAAGTTGGAAATGAAAAGGAAGAATCAATTATTGGAAAATATGGCCTTAGTAACAGAAAGAATACCAGAAATCATATAATAAAATATATTTAAAAGCAATAACTTCATCAATGCACGTATCCTTATTCAACAATATAAACAGCCTCAGTCCATGTAGAATATAGAATGAAAATGACCTCATCTGTGTGAAATGACAATGAAGTAATGCAATATCATCAGGCAAAACAAGACCAGGGGCTGACTGTGAAACAAACCACCAACCTCAGAGGCAATTTCAGGTTGAAGCTGAAAAAAATAAACACAGGTTCATTAGCAAGAGAATACAATTTTTTTGGTATATTGTACCTGAATTTAAAGATCATCTTAAGAATAGATGTCCTGCCTTGAACACTAAGAACCAAAGAAAAGATGAATATGGGATGAGATCAAAGCATAAAACAAAGGATTATTAAAAAGACAGGAAAGAAGAAAATACCAACACTGATGTCATAAAAGACTCAGAAGCTTGCTCTTGAGCATACAGTAGCTAAAGCAACTGGAAGAAATGATAAAATAACTGTGTGATTTATATATATGTATATATTATGTTTCTTTTAAAAACAAAACAGCACCATGTCGGTGTGAGTGGCTTAAGAAAAGTACAATTGAAATGGACCTGACATCTTTCATGACAAACAAGTACATTTCGAGAGAAAAGAAGAGCCAAAGAGGAGTTAGTGAAAGATCTTAACAGAACACGTCAGCTTGAGAAGACAGAGTAAAACGGTTTCACAAACTGTAGCAAGTCCTCCAGTTAGAAACCCAAAAGGGAAGAATAGGGTGAGGAGATATCAAGGTGAAAGAACTGAGGAAAAACATTAAGCCTCCAGTTAAAATGGAACGATCCTACGGACAAAATATTAAATTATATAGACATCAATAAAAATGGAAGGAATACACAAAGTATCCAAATCAAAAATTGGTCTATATTTAACCATTCAATAGTAGCATTGTATCAAGAACAGGTGATGCGGAAAGAATTCTAAGCTTCATTGAAGGCGTAAATTAAAAGCATGTTTCCAGAAATTGAAAAAATATCAAAGAAACATTTTAAAACTCTGATGCAGCACTAGACACACTCACTAGTGTACCTCAAGAACCTGCCATAAACCTGCCCAACCAACTGAAAGACATCCATGTTTGAGCCCATTCTGAAGAAAGTTAATCTTACTGGCAAGTAAAATTTTGCTGAAGATAATTCAACCTTGTCAGGGAGCTGCACATGGGATATCATTACTGATGTCTAATTAGTCTTGGCTGAAAGCAATGGACACCAGGAAGATGTTTACTTGTGTATCACAACTATGAAAAGATATTGAACAGTGTGGGCCATAACAAACTATGGATTACATTGCAATAACAGGAATTCAGGAACACTGAAGTGAGCGTATGCTCTCATTCAAACAGAACAAGGAAGCAGTATGCATGCAATCAGGACAGGTATGTATCAGGGCTGGAGAGTCTCACCATACTTATTCAATATGTATGTGCAACAATCAATTCTCAGCCTGAATGATATGAAAGATAATGAGGCATCAAAATCTGTAAAAGACTCATTTACACTAGGCAGCATACAAGTTCCAAAATATGCTTGCTGAAAGAGAAGAGGACTTGAAGCACTTACTGATCAATATCTACTACTGCCTTCAGTATGGATCACAGGTCATTTAAAGAAAATAAAAATCCGCACAACTGGGCCAATCATGATAAATGATAGAAAGATTTCATTTATCAGAGATGTACTTGGATCTACACTCAATGCTCACAAAGGCAGCAGCCATGAAATCAAATGACAGTGACATAATGCAATGAGTACATCTATTGTATAAAATTTCTTTACAGTGTGAAAAAGCAAATATGTCACTTTGAGGAATCAGATGTGCCTAGCCGTGCCATGGTATCTTTAGTTACTTCATAATAAGGAAGATCAGAGAGGATTCATGCATTTAAAATTAAAGTGTTGGAGAAGGATACTGAAAGAATGGTGCTACTACAAGCAAAAGTCTTTTAGAAGATACAGCCAAAATGCTTCTTAGAAGCCAGCATGGTGAGACTTTGTATCATGTACTTTGGTCGTGTTATCTCTCAAGAGAGTCCAGTCTTCAGAAAAAGACATCATGGGAGGTGAAAGACAAGGTCGTCATTGTAAAAAATATAAGACAACAGGAGGGACTCACATAATGGCTGCAACAATGGACGCAGACATAACCACGGGGCTTTGTTCTGTTGCGCATAGATAGGTCTTGGCACAATGGTTATTAATAACATGGTACTTGATGTCACCTATTTTAATAAAACACCAAAACACACTTTTTAACCAATGCACTGATCTGTAATTTTACAGGGGGATTTCTATTAAAACAGTTCATACTTTTATGTATTATAGGTTAACATGAACTCATTGCCAATGAGATAGTCACTACCAGAGTGTAAAACTAAAAGCATTTTTTATTAAATAGGGATATGTTTTATAGAAAACCGTATTTGTAATTTTAATAAAACAGAAACAATATTCAATCTATAAAGTACATACCAATCCTAACAGATACAATTCACAACATCCTATAATTGATGACAGGAGACATTAAACCTAGTTCAACAATTATTTCAGCTCCAGTAAAAGAAAACTGATTGCCATGTAAGTAAGAAATAGTGAGACACATGCTCGTGTTAAAAACAGAACCGAGGGAGAGTGGTACAAAGAAACATCATTATCCTGACCCAGCTAACCACAGAAAAAAAAGTTCATGCAAGATATCCTAGTTCTATGTCTAATTATTGTCCCAAACAAAAAAATATATCCACTACCACTGAACCAATCGTGACTCATTGGACAGAGGGGAAATGCGCTTCGTCTTTATAAGGCAGTGTATCTTTAAGAAAGCCACACCGGTCTCCCTTAGAGTAGGCTGGGGGGATCAAACCAGTGACTTTTTGGCTGAGCACTTAACCATTGAGCAAGGAACATTAAATTATTACCTCCCAAATTTTGTCATCCTAAGTTTCATCTTTAGTTTTTGTTTATTACTCTTATTTCCAAGAAAAAGGCTTAATTCCTGAAATGTTCCCATATTGTTTATAAAATATACATAGCATGCCATTGCCTATATCCTTCTATATTAGCCAATCAAAATAAGTAAATATTTAAGAGCTACCACTGAAAAATAATTGTCACTATACTAGTCTGTTTTCTTATTGTTAATAATATCTGACATTTACATAACCGTGTGTACAGCAATCTCATATTGGGTCTCCAAACATTTATTCATTAGTACTTCAATATTTCTATGCATGATTTGGCAAATAATCATCTCTGGTCTTCTAATTTATAAAACAAAGCCTTAACTCTGAAAATGGCATAAGCCTACTACTTCATATTTTCCAACTCACAGTCCATTTCTTTCTGCTAGGACGAGGAGATACGTAGAACACATCGAGCATGAAACAATTTGACTTCCCTGCATTGTGAAATATCCAAGTGGCACTTGAGTCTTATTTATTCCCACCTTTTTATATGCGATCCAGTCAAACACCTTGTCAATATCTGTTGCCTGTAGCACTTCCTGTGATACTGGATGGGAACTGGCCAAGCCATCAAGCAGCATCACTTCATGCAGAACATCTGTCAGGAACCTCTGCTTTTCCTGCAATAGAGATGAGTCAATATCATAGGTGATTCATGGTTATGACAGAATGTGTGTGACAACTGGTACAGAATATGTGTCACTTAATTGATGAAGTTCATTAGTCTTACATGGTGAGACTCAAGTGAACCCAGTAAATAAAATGCCTCTTAAGTTACTCTAAAATGTAGGTGGCTGATTTGAGCACGACATCAAACACAATCAATGAACTACTCTGGGCTCTAAACAGATTTTTTTTTTTAAATGGACTCTGTTTAACAGTGATTAAAGCAAAATTTGGACAGTGGGCAAATAATGAAAGTGACTAGGTTACAGGCTTCGTGGTGTGTTCTACAATATAAAGAACGACCACAATCCACTTTTCATAGTGCATTTGTAAGTACATTCAATATAAGACGACTAACTAAATTTCAAGCTTACAGTACTGTTTTACTATTTAGTATCACTTATCTCTAATACCTTGTGACCAGTTCATCCTTCTTCCCCTTTCCTTGCTCCCCCTCACCGCCACCCCCCGTGAGTGAGGACACACACACACACACACACACACACAAGAATGTGAAGAGAACACAGTAACAAAGGCACTATTTACACCAAACTATATATATGTGTGGATGCATATGTGAATTCCGAATAACAAATACATAGTAGATAACAATTCATTAGAATAAAAATTTACCATGAAATTATAAAAACAGTCAAAATTACAAGACTTCTCTTCTGTGCATCATTGAGATAGCAGTCTCTACTCTATTAAAAGCAAATTTGCTATGGCAGAAATAAAATGAAATAAAAAGTACTTTTCGGTTGTTTTGGATTTTAATAAAATTCTCCTTTAAGGAAATAGCTTGGGTTTTGTCGCCAGCATACCAAGGATGCTGGCAGCTATTAGTCCTCCTGCCTCCTGCCTCCAATGAGGGAGGAGTGAAATAAGAAAAGAAGGTGCAAGGGATAACAAGGGCTAAATAGCCCCCAGACAGTTAGGACCTAAAGAGTATCATTATGGAGATTAAAGGCTGCAGAGTTAAATTGCTCAAACTCATTCTGAGCTCAGTCCTGGAGCGTCCCAGGTTTGAGCCAGCAGATAAACAGTATGTTATTTCTGAACAAGTTGTAATTTCAAGCTGAGAGAAGACTTAGTCCTAGACTTAAAGAAAATAGAAATGGAGAATAAATATACCATGAAAAGAATAGTTAACTAGCGCATGTAAGTGTGCATTATTTTTCTCATGCTTTAAAGAAATATTTTTGTTCATCATTGTTTACTTTGTACAGTTTAGTGGCTATATATTGGACTTATTTATTCCTCTTTTACATTAAGAGTTCTACAGAAATCAGCTGTGTTCCCTCAAAGAGAGCAATGCTGAAACAGTTGAACCAAACCACATTCTCAATTACAGACGACTCCTCCAGTCCCATGAGGCCCTATATAAGAAGGTTACACTTGACTGAAGTATATGAGTATATGGCATAAATAGGCTATATTTCTTCTCCAATAAACTTCCTTGTTCAAGACAAATTAAATAAAATGCAATTAGATATGATAGGTTAAACTGTTAATAATAAATAAAATCATACATACATATCTGATCTTGAGTCTACCAAAAAAGACATACGCAGGTTTTAGACAAATGACCTGGATTTATATAATAATGGAAAATCATGCACCAATTCAAAACAATTTTACAATTGATTTACTTCTAAGCAAATGTTCATACCTGTCATTCATGTAATTTTAAAGTGTGCATTAAAAGCTACTTGATTTAGAATTGATGGAGGAATTATAAAATATATCATTTTAGTTCAACTTGACTAGTGAACATTTTTAAGAAGTACCAGATAAAGATGAGATGTCCATTCTGAAGATAAAAAATACTCACATCTTCAATTAGCGATCACCTCCTTTAATACCTATTCCTCACACAAACAATCTGAAACTACGGTATACAAAGAGAGTTTAAAATGATGTTTTATTTGAATTCAAGTTACTAATATTTAGCAAGACATTATACACTCATTTATCAAAATAAAAAAATATTATCAATATTAATAGTTAGTAACCCCCTTTTCAAAATTTGTAATGTTTAAATGATACGAAAAAATGGTTTAGTAATCTTAAAAATAAAAGTTAAGGTAAATTTCAAAGGAAAAAGATTCACATTGAAGGAAATTTTGTTATATATAAATTTTGTTATGTTATATATGTAAAGTGAATATTTTTATACGAATAAAAAACAAACATTTTATTTTTAGTAAGTAGAATGTCAATAAACCATGTGTAAATGTAGTTCAGTCAGATTATTAGCAAAAAATAATAATCTACATGGTTGAAAAAATGATACTGTGTAATTGAGGAAAAAGGCTTATGTACATGAAGAGATGGAAAGGAAGATAGAGAACTCCTGGTGGGAAAACCCCCGCAGAACCCAGGAGAAGGACTACCTTAAACCAAGGAGGAAACAAGGAAGATTCCAGCCGGAGGCAAATCCAGTTTCAGAAAACCTCAAAAAGTCTCAGGGGAGAAAGTGCTAATATTTTATAAAGACATGTCTATGTCACTACAAAATTTAAAAAAAATACATAGCATCTTAACTTGTCAGTGGCCCTCAGCAGCAGCAACAGCAACAACAACAACAAAAGGAATCACTAAGTATTGATTAATTGTCTATTGTTTACCAGGGGCTGTGAAACTAAAAACGAAGTCAACGTAAAGAGTTTTTACACAGGGACCCTGCATGGCCTCTGGAGCCCACACTGAGACACTGGAATTAACTTTTTAGCAAAAGAGAAAGTGGACGGATGTCTGTGCTTTGTAGGGAAAAAATCTATATATGGTGTATATTCAAAAGCTAGTTTCATTTTATTTCATAGTTTAATGTCAAAAGGGTGGCCAGTCTACCATGGTCACGGAATCAGCAAAACAAGCCAAATTGAAGAACCTGAGCTATGTTTAAAGGAGATTCAATGTTAATAGTAGCAATTAATCCTATTATTCCAATACAAGCACTGTATTGAGTTTTTGAATATCAGCAGATCTGAATAGTTTCCGTAATCTCTTTGATACATATTATTTTAAAGGTAACTGCATGTTGAAGATGAGTTGCTCAGATGGATAGGGGAAACAGCTTAAAATGGGAAAATATAGGACAGAAAACAATCTATCACAAGGATTGACATACAACCCCCTCCCAGAGGGACAAACAACAGAAAAGGGAATGATGGGAGACAGAGGATGATGTAAGATATGAAAATAATAATCAATAATTTATTAAGGCTTCATTTATTAAGGAGGGAGGGAGGGAAAAATGAGAAGCTGATATCAAAGGCTCAAGTAGAAAGAAAATGCTTTGAAATGATGATGGCAACATATACAAATGTGCTTGACACAATGGATTATGAAAGAGCTGTAAGAACCCGCAATAGAAGTATTTAATATAAAAAAAAACCGCCAAACTCCACACGGTCAGACTCAGTCACTAGTGATAAGCTGAAGATAGGGAGTACTACTGATAGGAAGATGTCTGCATCATTTAAATAGATTATGAGACGGAATCATGTTAATAGAGGGTAAGACCACACAGTGGTTTTGACTCTGTCATGGGGGCAGAGGGCGGTAAAGGGTATTATGGGAGGGACAAGGGGTAGGGTCAGAGTGGAAAAGCAGAGAAGAGTCTGAATGAAGATCAAAAAAAGGTAGATACATCAAGCCAAATTTAGGAAGATATGAATGAAGCGTGAACTAATTTAAGACATGGTAAGGTATGCATAGGCATGGAGAGATGAGGAAAGAAATACTTAAAGCAGATGTAGGTTACGTCACAGCAGCTTAAAAGATTCAATTATCTAGAAGGGGGGATATAACCATAAAAGGATCTTTTAGCATTCCTAAAATAAAATACATTAACAGTGTTCAAAGTTTGATAAAAGAGCCCTGATTAAAAGAAAAGCACCTCTTATTCACTACCTATATGGTCTTGAGCAAGATGCTCAGCCTTTTCAAGCCTCAGGATCTCTCAACTGTAAATATATGTGGTTATGAACGTAAAAGAGAAAAATTTGTTCTACAACTATTTATGGAACTCATGCTACATTCCGATGGTACGGTGGTCATGTGCATGCAGGTGTAAACCATGGGCCCTACCTTCAAAGACTTTATAGTTATAGAAGGAAAGAGGGATGAAAAATGGTGAAAAAACAATTTCCTCCATGTACAAAATAAAAGTGGCTTCCAGATAGATTGTGACTACGCAGAGAAAGCAGTGGTTTTATAGTCTTTGCCTGGTGACGGGCCAGGAAAGCGCCTGGGGTGATAGTTTAGTTGACTTTTTTAAGAGAATGAGAGAGAAAGGGATATTTTCAGCACAATGGTCTGGGTGGCAGAGTAAAGAAAATCAGAAACAAATTGGGATAAATGATTGGGGATGAGCAGAGAGAGAGAATTTCCCATGGCAGTCTAGGAATCTAGAGAAGTGACATACTCATATTCATGGGTAGAGACCTAACTCTGAATTAAGAGTGAGGAATAAAAAGGAAACAAGAGGCAAAACAACATTTCCTAATTCCACACAAGGTTTACCATATGGACTGGAGCTTTGTGATCACCAAATATTGTTAGCAATTGTTTCGTTCGAATTTAGTTCAATTTGGGGATGACCAATGGAGATCAAACAAAATAATATACTTCATGTCTGAATTAAATAGAGATAGGAGGATAAGGCTAAAAGTATTATTATAAAATCATATATGCAAAATTACTAAAATGTGAAGTTACTGCTTTTCAATATACCTCCGAAGTCTATCCACTGCTGACAGTAGTGTTTCTGTCTCTCTAACTTTTACCCAAATAACACATCCTTCTTTGATTTACACCTTCAAAGCAGAAGCTCTGTCACTCTGAAGGGGCTCCTTAATAAAAAAGAGGCCTAAAGTGTCAAGATCAGGGTGGTAAGGAGGATGTGGGAAAGTTCCCAAACAAAATTCCCAACAAAATACAGCATACT